GATTTACACCCTCGGAAACCCTGTACAGGGTCGCTATGGGTCGGAACCGACTCGACGGCACTTCACAACAACAACAACAGGCAAAGACTATGAAATACCCAAGGACTGCCAAAAGAACAGACGCATCCGTCTTAGAAGTACCACCAGAGTGTTCCTCAGAAGAAGGATGGGAGATTTCATCACGTATACTTTGGGCATGTCACCAGGAGGGGTCAGTCCCTGGAGGAGGACATCATGCTTGGGGAAAAAGAGGAGAGGGTCATCAAAAAGAGGAAACCTTGCAACAAGGTGATTGGCTCAGTGGCTGCAGCAATGGGCTTAAGCATAGTAACATTGGATTGTGAGCCTGGCCCAGGAATGGGCAGTGTTTCATTCTGTTGTACAAGTCACTATGAGTCACAACTGACTTGACAACGCCTGACAATATTTTTGAGGGACATAATTCAATCCACAACACTTATAAAGTGTGGGAGGGCACTTTTACCCTGCTCTGCATTATTTGCTTGGGGTGGGCTGTCTGGGGTGGTGACATTCTTGGGACAAAGAATGACTGGCCCAAGGAGGGGCTGAAGGGCCAGGCAGACAGGGGGTAGGAAGGATGGCTGCTTTGGTCAGTTTCCCCATCTGCCCCAGCATCACTCAGCCAGGCTGCCTCGTCTTGAGCAGGTGATCATCAACAAAGTGACTTCTCCCAGACCAAGCTGGCATCTCTTGGTGACTGAAAATTACCAGCAGAGCACCCCGTACATTGTTGCTGTTGTTAAGCAGTGACTAATTCAGGTCCTGGATGTCACAAGGCAATGACTGTTGGTCAGTGAGGTGGACGCTGGAATGGGAGGTCTCCCTAAACCCACCCCCACCTGGTATCCACAGTTCACTGTTCCGGTCTTCTAGAGAGATGCGTCTGCCAGCTAAGCAGAAACAGGAGGATGGCTGAATTGGACTCAAGCCTTCTAAGTCTGGTGTGGCCCTGTAGGATAAGCACTGAACTGCTAGCCACAAGTTCAGTGGTTCAAACCCACCAGCTGCTCATTGGAAACCCTATTCAGGGTCGCTATGCATCGGCACCAACTCAACAGCACTTAACAACACCCCCTGAAAGCACAGTAGGGACCCAATGGAAGGTTTGAAGCAGAAGAGTGGTAAGAGCAGATTTACATGTTTAAAAGGAGCCCTGGTGGTACAGTGGTTAAGTCCTTGGTTGTTATCCAAAAGGTTGGTGGTTCAAACCCACCAGTTGCTCCATGGGAGAAACACGTGACCGTCTGCTTCTATAAATGTTACAGCCTTGGAAACCCTGTGGCGCAGTGCAACACGGTCACTGTGAATCAGAATCCACTCCATGGCAAATGGGTTTGTTATCATTGTTGGCTACAATGGAGTTGTCCCGAGTTACAGCAACCCCATGTAAAATGGAACAAAACGCTGCCGAGCCCCTTGCTGTCCCCACTGTGATCCATAGAGTTTTCACTGGCTGATTTTTCAGATTTAGATCACCAGGTCTTTCTTCCTAGTCTGTCTTAGTCTGGAAGCTGTACTGACAACTATCAACCTCCTAACAATACTCAAACCTCCACTGCCAAATGGGTGGTAACTGGGCATGAGGTAAATTAGTCAGGAATGGGGCCCACATTTCCCACATGAAAGATGGGGGCGTGGTTCTACCACTGACTCTCATTGTCTTCCCTCCAGCTAGAGGGGAGAGGGCGAATTCAAGGGTGGTGAGAAACCAAACCACCTACTCAAATTTTCTTTGAACCAAAACCCAGCTCATCTTAGTTCATGGTAAAGTACAGCCAGTTTGAGCATTATGCTCTTTTAAAGAATGGTCTACGTGTGATCAGGTTGCCAAAGACCTCTCCAAAGGTGAGATGGGAAGCTTAGGGCAGTGAGTGTAGTCAGTGGAGGTGGAATAATGTGGGCAAGGATGAGAAAGGCTGCGCCGCTTGAAGAACGTAACCAATGTCATGGAACTTGTTGAGATGGTTTATTGTTGGCTGTGTAGAATCCTGGTATGGTACCATAGGATCTGCACTGGACTGCTAACCACAAGGTTGGCCGTTCAAATCCACCAGCTGCTCCTTGGAAACCCTATATAGGGTTGCTAAAGGAGCTCTGGTAGCGTAGTGGTTACAAATCATCAGGCTGCGAACCACAAGGTCAGCAGTTCAAAACTACCAGCTGTTCCGCAGGAGAAAGGTGAGGCTTTCTGCTCCCGTAAAGATTTACAGCCTCGAAAACCCTATGAGTCGCTATGAGTCGGAACCGACTCCACGGCTCATAACAACAACAACAGAGTCAGAACTCCTTCGATGGAACTTTAACAACAGAACCAAAATTTAAAAAAACCAAACCCATTGCTGTCAAGATGATTCTGACTAATACTGACCTCACAGGACAAAGCAGAACTGTCCCTTAGGGTTTCTGAGAGTGTAACACTTTATGGAGGCAGACCCGCCTGTTTCCTGTGGAGTGGCTGCTGGATTTGAACCATTGGCCTCTTGTTAGCCGTGGAGAGCTTGAACCACTGAGCAATGGTGTATCCTTTCCCCAAAAAAACCCCACAGCTATTAAGTGAATAGTGACTCATAGGAACCTTACGTAGGGTTTCCGGGGCTGCAAATCTTTGCAAGTACAATCTCAACTATCTTCTGCGGAGAGGCTAGTGGGTTTGAACTGCCGATCTTGTGGTTATCAGCAGTCCAGAGCTTACGTACTTTGACCAGAATACTTTCACCAAAATAAAAAAAGGAAGAAGAAGAAAAGCAATAAAAATTGAGCGGCTGAGGACTCTAGATTCATGGACTAAGAAGAGAAGGACTAAGAGCTGGTGGCCAGGAGCAGACTTGCAGAATGTGCCCTTTGGAGATGTAATTTATTATATATGCCTGAGTGGGGTTTTTTTGTTTGTGTGT